TGGAGTAGCCTCCCTGGAGCTCAAACTTCCCAAAAAAAAAAACGAAGTGTTATGAACACACATGAATTATAACATCAATTAATCTCACATGGAGGTCTAGCAGAGCCGATGTCTCGCCGGAAGACGCCGACAAATCAAATAGAAAGAGCCCGTCAGCAGCGGGACAGCAAAAGGCAAGTCGGACCGGGCAGCGCTCTCTCTCTCTCTCTCTCTCTCTCCGTGTGTGCCCCCGCCGTGTGCCAGCCTCGATGCCCGGCAGGATTTGGGAGTCCTCGGATGGCCCGGGCCGGTGTGTGTGCGTGCTTTCCGCGAGGGGAGGGGAGGGGAGAGGAGGGGAGAGGAGGGGAGGGGAGAAGCGGGGCGGGCAGCAGCGGTAAAGAAACCAAAAAAAAAAACAGCTCTCCTTTTTTTTTTCTTTTTATTTTGTGATCCCAGATCCCCCCCCCCCACCCACCCACCACTCCAAACACGCACACACGTTTCGTCGTCCGAGAAAGACGGGGAAATCTGACTGCCACAAAAAATAGTCGAGGAAGATGAAATATTTAGCAATTCAGCGCTCTCCCCCCGTCTCCCCTCTTTCCGTGCCAGCGCGGTGTGTTGTCCGCTTACACCGAGCTCCCTCCTCCTCCTCCTCCTCCAGCGGCTAAATGGCAGCTACCGATACGGGACAAAACACACACACATTTTGTTGCCCCTCCAAAATGTCGCTTATGACGATATATCACAGTGAATCAATTATTCAATCCCAAATCAATCCAGGAAGCCACACGTGCCACAGTCTAAACTCCCGTGTTTTAAATCTTGAACGGGTGATGTATTTTTTTTTCCCACCAGAGTGGAAGCGAGGGGCGACGCTGGCACCTCCATCTTTACCCGACATCAACAGGTCATCCCGGGACACAAAATGCGCCGCAACTGTGGGCGAGACAAGACGGATGGATATGGTATGGCGAGGCGAGGCGAGAAGAGAAGAGGAGAGGAGAGAGGAGAAGAGGAGGGGAAGAGAAAGTAAAAGAGGGGCTGTCTGTGAAATCTTAACCCCTTTACGCACGGGACATTTGGCAAATCAATGGCTGCTTAAAGTTTTTAAATGCAGATAGTTTTTTTTTTGTTCGTTCCCCACGAGAAAGTTCAGGAATTCGGGCGAATGAAGAAGAAGAAGAAGCCGAGGACTCGTTAATTCACTCACCGGGGGGAAAGGAGGAGGGGGCGGCGGGAGGGAGGGGGGGGGGGGCAGCCCGCGGCGGAGAGTGAGTGAAGCCGGTGAAGTGGTTAAAGTTTGGTCTGTCCCCATGAGCCCATCCCCCATAGTCGCCAGCACAACTTTACCACCCCATCCCCTTCAAAACAATACAAAACAAAACAATAGCTACAAGCCCCGCAGACCATACAACACCCATATCCGAATTTAGCAAAGGTACGCCGCCACACACACACACACACTCAAACACACACACGCATACACGCAGGCACAGTTGGGGTCTCGGACAACTGGCCGACCCGTTGTCCTCGTTGACCCGCCTTGCTCAACTTACCCCCTCGGCTGTATTCCGCTGGAAAGTGTTGCAATGGAGGACCAGCGTTGAATAAGCGGTCGAGTGTCTCCCTCCGCCTCGCTACAAGCAACCATTCATTGTGACGGGTTGTATGTATGCTGTGTGTGAACCAGCAGCGAGAGCACGCACACACACACACACACATGCAAAGCGAGGAGAGAGGAGATGAGCGCGGAGCTACTGAGGAGGGGAGGGGAGGGAAGGGGAGGGGAGGGGACGCAGCGATGCCAGAGCGGGGATTTTTTTTTTTTTGTTACTCTCCCAGGGGTTGCAGACAGATCGCAGAGCTACCGATCGGCTAGACAGGCAGACAGGTAGACAGACAGATCTTATATGGGACAGTAAGGTGGCAGCATGCATCGCCTCAACACTTAAGTTGCCTATACTGCAATTTACACTGCACATCATAGGCTCCAGTTAGGCCTACTTCAGAAATATGAAATAAGATGTATGGGTAACTATAGGTCTGCTTTCTTAGGCTATTAAGTCAAAAACATTTTTATTCAAAGCATGCAATGATGCACGTTTTTTTTTTAGCCTACCTGTTGTGTTTTTGTCCACTGCTATACATCAGATTTCTCTTCCAGGGACAATAAAGGTCTGAACTGAACTGAGAGCTAAAACATTGAAGCCGAAAAAACAAATGAAGCAGAACCTTGCTTTGGCTAGGTGAATTATTACATTAACAAAAGTGATTCAGTCAGTAAAGCTAATTCTGACATATGGCTTTAGCCTACATGGTCTTTAAAAAAAAAAAAAAAAGCATGATAAAATCCTACTTGTGTCTCCATATCATCCCTGAAGGTAAAATGAGGTCTACAGTAAGCAAATGTTCAAATTGATCAAATTGAGTATTTCTTCAAATGACTTGGCAAAGGCACAAACAGCTGTATGGTAAATGGCAGAAAAGTTTACTTTTGTGTTGTAATTACAATTACTAGAATTACTAGATTTTGTCCTGTCAAACCAATGGTGAGATAACTCAAATGAACCTTCTTTTGTTGTTTTTTGTTATTTTTTTATTCGTAGGTCTTTATTTTCATATTGTTTCGATCTCCCTTTAAAATACGCTATATATTTTTTTTTATTTTTATTTTATTTTTGGCGAGCATGTCTGATGTATAGAGTGGGATAAAAGGCTACATGTAGACTGGTAAAACTGGAAGTAATCAGATTACAAGTGAAGAAGTAACGGGATACTGTTCGATTGAGCCCACGCGCCGCTGCAGGCAGGTAGACAGGCAGCGCGTCCCCAGTCGACCCGTCCGTCTGAGCCCCACCCACTCGACCCACTCTCTCTACTCACCGGAGTGTCTTCTCCCGTGAGCGGCGAACCGACTTTTTTCTCTAACGACACCCTCACGGTCAGTCGAGCCCAGGTGCCTCCGGTGTGATCCCTCTGTGTGAAGCGCGTGATATAGTGCGTCTAGACTCCGGGCAGGTGAGCCCTCCGGGCCCTCAAGGCGCTGCGCAAAGTGAATGCTAAACAGGATGAGACTGCATTCAGGCACGGCACTGCGCTCCCCGCTCCCTCTCCTTGTCATGCCAAATACTATTAACTCTATAATTCTCCTGTGTCAGATGTATAGCGCCACGCTCTCTGGGCATTTATTGTCACAGCGCCCCCATCCAGATGTTCAGGCGTGTGTGCATACAGTTAGCCTGCAGGCTGCAGGCACTTTCTGTCTCTCCATCCACAGTAATGTCACATTTCACATGAACTGGGTGCAAACCACTGAATAAAACAGGATATGACAGCTTGTGTGAAATAGTGTATAGGCTGTATTGCGTTTCAATGTAGGTCATGCATTTATGACAGATGTATTGTTTGTGAGACTTTGACAGAAGTAGAATTCTGCACATAAAGAAGCACCACCAAGTAAGTGCTCACACATAATAGGCTATAGCCAGGATTAAGTGGCCCCCAAATACCCACTCTCAAATAATTGTTGACCTTAAAATAGCTCACATTTGATTTTATTTATCCTATATGTCATGATTGTTTATTACAGAAGTCAAAAAGAGTTAGCTGCTTCATGCTAGTCCTTAAGTCAGCCCAATTTTCTTTTTGTCACATAACAAACTCAGCCCAAAAATGTCCGGGATCAGTTCACAAGCATAGTTTAAAATGTTTATTTTTCATAGTTCTCAATACTTGTTGGGACACTGGCTGTAATAGCCCCATAACTTTAAGTGTAATAAAGGGTTATAATCAGGAAAAAGTCCCTTTAAAGAATGCCATTCAACAAATTTGAGAAATGGATTTGTTTTGACCACCCAGGCAAAAATGAGCTGTTGGAGCCCAATCAGTTTCCTTATTTCTTCCATCCATATGTAACCTAAAGTTTTCCAATATTTCTGGGGCACAGATTCACTGAGTGATACATTAATGAGGCTAAATTCTTATTAGTTACAAGGATGCAAGGCTTATGCACAAACAGGAGTGTTTTCTATTCATTGACCTCTACGAAATGTTTTTTTTCTAAAGCAGCAAATCAATCAGCAACCCCTTGTAAAAAAAAATAGTTAAAATAGCCCTTTGATAGGCTACAATAACTGCTGCTTCAAGTGATTTTTTTTTTTTTTTTGCAGCTTGAAGTGAGTTAACAAGAGTAAATTGCTTGTAATGATGAGAATAGACATATACTTTAGGTCAAATAGATCAAATGCTTATGGGGAATATTAGTGTTCATGTGTTTTGCACTTTGACATGTAGGCCTCTGTTTAGGTCTATATATTTTTGTGGTTATGGCAGTAAGGACAAAGACACCAAAGACACAATCCTGGCCTTTAAACTGGATATTATTCTATTATTTTTTGCAACTTTCTCAAGTTTTTGAGTCTCATGCCTTTTGCAATTTAACAACCCCCCTCCCCCCCACCACCACACACACACACACACACACACACACACAGGCATAAAAAGTGAAAAATAAACACATTACAACCCTTTGCTAAAGATGCACATTAAATAACCTCATTTTACGAGAGTGAGCTACACAACTTAAACTGAAACACATAAGGACCTATTCACTGTATTTTTCCACTTAAGCTGCTCAGCTGTGACCTGCATTGACCCTATATTTTCTCGAAGGCATTTTTATCTTCGAACATTTTGGTCCCGGTATTTCTGTTAATCCATAGGCTATGTTTAGCCTTTTCATCAGAATGCATCGCCAAATTCGGGCACGGTGAGATTAAATTAGATTATTCATGGGAGCACACTGATGTGTATTCCAGCCGCCTCACATGTTCACAGTGGGGAAAAGTAGGCCATGTGTGTGTGTGTGTGTGTGTGTGTGTGTGTGTGTGTGTGTGTGTGTGCGCGCGCGCGCGTGCGTGTGCGTGCGTGTGTGTGCATGCAGCGGCTGACTGATCGACCCTCTCCCTCTTGTCCTTACATTGCACCGTTTTTTTCCCCCGACAGTACACTCAGTCCTGCCGGAGGGGCGGAGAGGGGGAGCGAGATTTGCTTTGCTTTGCGATTTGGCCGCACAGGGTTTCCGTAGATACGCTTCCAAACATGGCTGCTCCCATGTGTTAACATGAGAGTTAGCTGGACTTAGATGATACACTGAGTGCATCAGTGAGGAGACGGATAGCACACGGTCCACAGTATCGCTTGTAATATTGAACATCAGCCTTTGAAGAAAATAAGTGTGGACTATCGGTGCAGTCACAGGTGAGTCTGTAAAACGCGTAGCTGTACTAGCAGACAGGCTAATAACTTTGCTGTTGGCTTAGTTGAAACATTTAAGTGATTTATGTGATGTTCACAAGCTAAACTAACTTACTTTTTGACTGTTTTGCTCAAGTATCAACCTTTTTTTCACTCAACTTTAAAGTAGCTAGGTGTTTACAATTAAACTTAGCATTACTTCATATTTAAAGGTGCGGAAGATAAAGATAAACGAGTTAAACAAGTCTTTATTTCACACGTCTTGTTACTGAAGACGATGAAGAACTCAACACGCAGCATTTGTTTTAGTTTATGTTAAATAAAAAAGAAGCAATGTTCATCTTTATGAAATGTAGGCCTACTGCTTCATTATTTTGTCGGCTTTTTTCTTATATATATATATATATATATATATCTCGCATCTATTTCAGAAATGCTCTGTGGGTTTTGTTGTATGCAGCCTGAGCTCAGTAGCCTGTAGTATATCTGACTTTTGTTATTCAAGCTAGCTCATATTTACAGTCTATTTTGAATTAACTGGGGAGGGGGGGTTGAAAGATGTTGACACAACACACACAGCTGCAGAAAAATGAAAAAGACCACACTGAAAAAAACGAGCTTTAATCTGGTTTCACTGTTTTTACATTTGTGTTTGAGTAAAATCATTTTTTTTTATTGTTTAAAACATTTCTCCAACCTTCCCAACATTTTATTAAACAATATCAACATCATTATTTAACCTGCACATCCCAGATTCATTCTGAAGACATTTTGACTGTGCATAATAAAGATGTTTTCACTTTTTTTTTTTTACTTTGCAGCATTTAAACCTTCTCTCTGTCTTTTTCCCCCCCAGACTGTGTTTATCTTTATGTTGGTGAGGACAGCTTGTCTGTTTCCCTGCATCAAATCCCATCATCTTTATCCTCTCCTCGCCCATTCGGCCACACAGACGTTTCGTGGCAGCTTAGGCAGAGCTGCTGCTGCTGCCAGCAGGGGGCTGAGATCCATGGAGCCCCTTAAAGCTGTTCAAGACCCTGAGATTCCCACCGTCAAACCCCCTCCTCACAGACCTGCTGACTCTTCAGATGAGGTTGAGACTGCTGCTCCCACACACACAGCAGCCGAGACGGATAAGACACTTCCTGAGGGGCTGTTACCTGGGGAGACGGTGGTCAAGGAGGGCAAGGCATCCATATTGTTTCCCAGCGCTAACGAGGTGTTTTACAATCCTGTCCAGGAATTTAACAGAGATCTGACGTAAGTTTAAACTCTTGCTGCTTTCACCTTTTATCCTGGAGACATGGACTTACTTTAAATGAATTCAAGATAATGTGATTCACCGCAAGAAGATACCCTTCAAGAATGTGACAGCATCTGATGGACAGCATACAGAACATGTTGTGTTTCTTTTTACACATTCAAAAAACATTTTGAAGACATTGTTATATTTTAGAACATGGTTGTTAAACTAAATCGCACATACCTCTAATGATGATGTACAATGGTCTAAATGACTAAATAACTATAGTTTCTATCAATCAGCATGAAACTGTAGTTAAATTGTGAATACTAAATGTAGTTTGAGAAGGATAAAAGCAGAGATACCAGTCTCACAGCAAGAAGTGTAGTTAGTATGAACTACAGGTCATGCCTGACCTCCTTAGCCTGCAGTGGCAAAACTCCTGAGTGCATTGAGACAACCAGTGAAGCAAAAACTGCAGGGTATCTCATTTTATAAAACAGCGAATTAACAAGTGGTTTGCCTTTATTTATATCGCCATGGTTATGCCTTTTATTTAGAGATAGGACAGTGGATCGAGTCAGTTATCGGGGAGGGAGACAGTGAGGAATGACATGAGGGGAAAGGAGCTACAGGTTGGATTCAAACCCGGGCCGCCCTTTTGGAGGGCTATAGCCTCTGTACATGGGGCGTGCCCACTAATCACTTGTCTACCGGCGCCCCCATGTTTGAAAGATTAAAGCACAGACAAATGCTTCTCACGCAAGAAGCTGAACGAGAATATTGATGTTGTTGTGTTAAGATGGAGGATAATGTAAAGGAAGCTCTGTTATATGTCCCCTGTTCCCTTCCCAGATGTGCTGTGATCACAGAGTTTGCCAGAGACGTAATGGCTCAGCGCGGGGTGAAGGTGGTGGTGCCTGGAGAGAAGGAGAGGGTGGTAGTCTCTCTGTCAGAGGAGGCGAACGAGGCCGAGGTACCGATGGAGCAGAACAACGGAGCAGAGGAGCCAGCTATCACTGCAACCGTCGGGGAGAAATGTGAGGTAGGTTTTAACGATTTTACATACAATTTCAAATTCACAGATTATGACTAGAGACTGCTGAGTTAACTGATTTATGTTGAGAATCTGTTTAAGAATGTGTATGCAGATTAGTCAGTTTAGGAGGAATCTCATTCTTCTTGTTTCGATCATATTGCATTAATTATTAATATTATCAAAGTCAAAGTCAAGTCAAAGTCAACTTTATTGTCAATTTCAAAATATGCCAGACATACAGTAGAATCGAACTTTCGTTTGTCTCCGTCCCGCGGTGCAATACAACCAAAATAAGATAAGGTAAAAATACCTAAATAAATAAAATGAGGTAAAAATAAGAAATAATATTTACAGTAATAAATTCTAAATTGTGCAAAGGTATAAATCCTAAATTGTGCAAAAGGTAGTAAGTAAAATACAATAAAATTTAAAGAAAAAGTGAACTTGTGCAGTATGTGCAATGTGCAGTAAACTGAGTGTACAGAGTTTTTAGTCCAGAGTTCTTGGTGGAAAACGGGAGGGGGTTTCAACGTCCAGTGTTCGTGGGGGCAGAGGGGAGGGAAGGAAGAGAGGGGAGAGAGTTAAGCTTCCTGACAGCTTGGTGGAAGAAGCTGTTTCCCAGTCTGGTGGAGCCGGCCCGCAGGCTGCGGTACCGTCTCCCCCGATGGCAGGAGGCTGAAGAGGCTGTGTGAGGGGTGGGTGGGGTCACGCACAATGCTGGTTGCTTTGCGGGTGAGGCGGGCACCGTAGAGGTCCAGAAGAGAGGGGAGTGGGACACCGATAATCCGTTCAGCAGCCTTCACTGTGCGCTGCAGGGTCTTGCGGTTGGCAGCAGTGCAGCTCCCAAGCCACACAGTGATGCAGCTGGTCAGGATGCTCTCGATGGTGCCTCTGTAGAAGGAGCACATGATGGATGGGGGGGGAAGTAGAGGCGCTGCTGGGACTTCTTGGCCAGTGATGTAGTGTTGGTTAACCAGGAGAGATCCTCACTGATGTGAACCCCCAGGAACTTGGTGCTGCTCACTCTCTCCACAGCAGCACCGTCGATGGTCAGTGGGGGTTTAGGAGTGGGGACTCTCCGGAAGTCGACAACAACCTCCTTAGTCTTGTCGACGTTCAGGAAGAGGTTGTTGTCTCTGCACCACGTGGCTAGTTGGCTGACCTCCATCCTGTAGTGCGTCTCATCGTTGTTGGAGATGAGACCAACCACTGTTGTGTCGTCCGCGAACTTCACAATGTGGTTGCTGCTGAAGGATGGAGCGCAGTCGTGGGTCAGCAGCGTGAAGAGCAGGGGGCTAAGCACACAACCCTGGGGGGCCCCAGTGCTCATGACGATGGTTTTTGATGTGCTGCCGTCGACCCGCACTGTCTGAGGCCTCTTGCTGAGGAAGTCCAGCAGCCAGTTGCACAGGGAAGTGCTGAGCCCCAGCTGGTCCAGTTTGCTGATCAGCTGCTGAGGGATGATGGTGTTGAATGCTGAACTGAAGTCTATGAACAGCATTCTGACGTATGAGTTTTTGGTGTCCAGGTGGGTGAGGGCTGGGTGAAGAGCAGAACAGATGGCATCCTCGGTGGATCTGTTACCTCGGTATGCAAACTGGTAGGGGTCCAGGGTGGCGGGGAGGGTGGATTTGATGTGGGCCATGACTAACCTTTCAAAGCACTTCATGGCGATGGGGGTCAGTGCAACGGGTCGCTAGTCATTGAAAGTGGATGGTGAAGGCTTCTTTGGAACGGGTATGATGGTGGTGGCTTTGAAGCATGACGGAACAACAGCCTGACTCAGAGAAGCACACGGCCAGGAATGTTGTCTGGACCTGCAGCCTTGCGGGTGTTGATCTTGGAGAAGGTTCTCTTCACGCTGGCTGCAGTCAGGCACAGGGTCTGGTCGTGGGGAGGGGGCGTGGTCTTCTGTGGGGGCGTGCTGTTGTGTGCTTCAAACCTGGCAGAGAAGCTGTTGAGGTCGTTCAGCAGAGAGGTGTTGCTGTCACAGGTCTGTGGCTTGGGTTTGTAGTCCGCGATGGTCTCGATACCACGCCACAGGCTCCGCGCGTCTCTGCTGTCCTTGAAGTGTCCGGTTATTTTTAGTGTGTAGCTGCGTTTGGCTTTCCTGATGCCACGGTACAGGTTGGCCCTCGCTGTTCTCAGGCAGGCTGCGTCCCCCCAGCTCTGAAGGCGGTGTTCCTGGCCCTCAGTAGCTCGCGTACCTCTCCTGTCAGCCATGGCTTCTGGTTAACCCGGGTGGTGATGGTTCTGGTGATGGTGACATCAGCAATGCATTTGCTAATGTAGGAGGTAACAGTGTCAGAATTATGTCAGTTATTATTTCATCTTCCTGTTTAATTATTAACTCAAAAAACATGAGAATATTGACTTGGCAACAAAAAAGGCACAAAATACTTCCTAATTACTAAAACTACATCCTGATGGCATAATTATAAACTACTTGTGTTTTTACTTAGTGGAGTCTAGTAAAGAGTTAAAGGGTTAAAACCCACAGAAAGGAAAAAATGAGGAATGACAAACAAATATGTTCAAAGTTTGAAGCTGCTGCTATTTGTCATATGAGTCGTAATGTTTATTATAATAATAACATCATGGATCAAACATGACATACATTATTACATACTCACCCTGATCAGCATTGACCAAGGAGGTTGTTGTCGACTTTCGGAGAGTCCCCACTCCTAAACCCCCACCCTGATCAGCATTGTTTCCATCATTGATGGTTTGTACTGAACCATCAATGATGTCTTCACAAGTCCCATTATTTACCCACGGTTCTTTGCTGCACCTTGCTAGCTGTATGCTTTGGTTTTGTTGTTTGAGATGTATTCTGTGATTTCTTTAAATGGACCAAGTTAAAAAAAAAAAAAAAAATGAAGCCTTTTATATTGAGATTTAGTATTTATGAGATCTTTAAAGGTTATATATACTATATATGACACATTTGGATCAAAATCACGTTACAGCTTACATAGTAGCAGCCGTGGGCAGACAGTCAAACCGACTCTAGTCACATGATACAAACGTCACTCCCCCCTCCTATTGGCTCAAGGTGAATTCTCTGGAGAATATCCTGCTGCGTTCTCACATCAGCTCACTCAGACTCGCTGCAGAAAAAATACTAGGGGGCTGACAGGAGAAACTCCGGGTATGGCTGTTTGCGTTCACACATACAGCTCCTCTGGCAAATATCAGGAGTTTTTCAGGAGTTTTCTGCACTTGTGAAAGCCTTACATCACAACTTAATTCTGCTGCTTTCCCTAAAAGCTCTGTGACTTAAACTCAGTTTACTGATTACTGTTTTCACACATGCACAAAACTCCTGAAAAATGAGCTGCATGTGTCAAGGCAAACGGATACATTTGTAATCCCAACTTTCCCTGGACTTTTTCCTCCCAGCCACCAACTCAAATGTCTGTTTGAAGTCGGGATGAGCTGATGTGTGAACGTGCAGCAGAAAGCCAGCAGAATTCACCACGTGCAAGCAGATGGGGGTCATGACCTTTTAACACGTGACTGCTGTGTGATTGTTGTGCACCTGAAAAAGCGTGCCCCCCCCCCCTTTTTTTTTTTTTTGCTCGACTTTAGCATCTTTTTTCTTTCATTTCATGTCGACTGTACCTTTGTTTTGTCTAACTGTGTGTGGCCATGTTGTTGAGGTTTATATTGACTACTGACCTCAGTGATGTGCTTGTTTGTTAATGTACTATGGTCACTTTTTCACTTGGTGTCAGATGAAAAGGTTCTGATAGTTTACAGCTTTAATGTGCATGCTATTTTTCTTAGGAATGGAAATGAGTGAATCAATTAATTCTAAAATGAGTGAAACACATGAATAGTTTTTTTTTCCGGCTGTCCTCAAAGTGAACAAAAATCCCTCCATGCAGCTTGAAGATTGTCTGTCTCTTCTATTCCAGCGTGGTCTGCGTGTGCTGGAGGGGCTAGCGGCGTCGGGTTTGCGCTCGGTGCGTTTCGCTCTGGAAGTCCCCGGCCTGCAGAACGTCACCGCCAACGACTTCTCCACCAAGGCTGCAGCGCTGATCGCCAGGAACGCTCAGTACAACGGAGTCAGCCACCTGCTGCAGGCCAGCTGCAGAGACGCTAGGTAACATCCATCTGAGAGTTCAGAGAAGACCACTGATGCTTCACTGGTCTGCTGTCTTCCTCTTGCTTCACCTTTCACCTCTTGCTCCAGTCATCCCTTTGCTCCTCTCCTGTGCCTTTTGCTTTTCTTCTTTTATGAGCTTTTGTGTCCTTTTCTTTCTGACTTGACCTTCTTCTTTTCTCTCTTTCTACTCTCTCTCTTTTTCTCTTCATCTGTCATTTCACTTGATTCTCCTCCCTCTTCTCAGAAACGATGCTCTCTTTTTTTTTTTTCAACGAACTGTGATACATTTTAATTCTCGTTTCACGTTTTATTTTTGTCATTCCTCTTCTTCCAGTCTTCCAGTGATCATGGACGTGTTGATTTTCCGATTATTTCTTTCCCCTCCTTTTTTCCTGCAGTATGCTGATGTATGAGATGCGAGGGAAAAAGGAGCGCTATGATGTCATCGATCTGGATCCCTATGGTAGCCCCTCTGTCTTCTTGGATGCAGCAGTGCAGGCTGTCAGTGAGGGAGGTGGGTAGTTCTGTCTGTCTGTCTGTCATTCATGCAGATGTTTTCTCCACCTGTCAATCCTCAGTCTCTCGGTCTGTTTTGGGGTTTGAAACTGTTTGATCATTTGCTGCCGTTTAGTGGTTGAGGATTAAGAGAGCGGGTTTCAATCACGTCATTATTTTTATTCGAAAAAGTAAAAATACGTTTTGGCAGCATAGGATGAATTGTTATTGACATTTGGACTAACTTGAATATTATCAATACTGTTATTTGAATAATTGATAAAAAAAAATGAAAAATTCCAACTTTTTTTTTTACCAATTGCAAGTACAGTCAGGGGTCAATGACAACTACGAACCATATTATTTTCAAAGATTCAGAAACTATTAAAACAGTAATATTTGTCAGTTTGCAGATTTAATTGTTCTTAAAGGTGTCTCCAGATCGTTTTTTTCAAAGTACAAAACAGTAAAACTTTTCAGTAGAACTGTCCTGGTTTGAAAACTCCATGTTGTCCTTTTCCATGTGCACTGACATCTCTGTCTCTCTCTCTCTCTCTCTCCCTCAGGTCTGTTGTGTATAACATGCACAGACATGGCTGTGATGGCAGGAAACAGTGGAGAGACGTGCTACAGCAAATACGGCTCAGTCTCAGTCAAAGCCAAATACTGTCATGAGATGGTGAGACCAGAGTACACACACACACACACACACACACACACACTTCCCTTTTAACAAACCTTGAACCAGGTTCAGAGGTTGCTGTCTACTCTTTAAATGAAGTCAAAATTGTAGGCGCGCATAATGTATGGTGGCAGCCCGTATCGAAGGTTTGATGGTAATGTTCATATTCTGTGTTCAGAGCGTGGTCAGGATCACAGGCGATGCTGTTAGCCAGCCTTAACATGTTCTTATCGTATGCTGATTCATGGAGTCTCTGCATTGGTTGGCCTACAATCTTAGAGCAGATGTTTAACTGTTGGAGCGGTTTAGAATTTAGAGTAGGTGACAGCACACACACCATATACCAGTTGTTATGAATATGTAACTGTGTTAAGATCTAAAAGAAATGGTACAAGGGATTCCATTGGTGTTTCTGTATCATTTCTCTACGTTTTATTTTTCTGTTTATTTTTGCGTTGTTGTTCAAAACGGACTCTCACATCGGCTGCATGGAAGATACGAATATAAATATCTTGGGATTTTCTGGGTTTGTGTCCAGGCTTTTGATGACACAAATAATCAACATTGGTCATGTGTGAAAAACTCATTAACTTCATTAGGAGTCGAGCTAAAGGAAAAGAAGAACTTCAAAGATTAGGCGATACAGATATTATGCAGGAAATATTATGTTTGGCTCATGTGAACTTTTGAGTTTAAGATCAAAGACACCAGACTTTCTCAGACATGTAACATAAAAATCTGACTGTGTGTGTGTGTCTCTCTTCTCTGTTCCTTCTGCAGGCTCTCCGTATCATCCTGCACAGTGTGGACCAGAGGGCAGCCGTTTACCAGAGATACATCCAGCCCCTGCTGTCCGTCAGCGTGGACTTTTATATCAGGGTCTTTGTGCGAGTCTTTACAGGACAGGCCAAAGTGAAGAACTCAGCTAGGTACACACAAACACGCGCACACACAAACACGCACACATACACCTACACACAAGCAAGCACAAATATATACTGTCCTCTAAAAAAGGCTGATATATGATGAAAGTTGAATGAACTGAAACTGGGTCATTGCAGCAACAAATGCTGAAAATAATAGCAGCAGCAGACATTCACAAGATAACAAAAAACAAATGTCTGAAAAGCAGGGCTGTCAACTTTTTTATTTGTCTGTCAACGCATTTATTATTTTTTAGCGCCTTTTTTTTTTTACTTTACCATTTATCGTTTGACTTTCCTGCTTCATATGCAAATGAACACAGAGCCCTTTTGAAGTATCCCTTTAAAAAAACACTGAATTATGATTACCAACCGTGATGCAGACTCTCACCAGAGAAAGGGAGACGTGTGAACATGTAACCGAGCTGTAACAAGTAGGGGGTGACTACGGACTGACTTCATATGAAACTTTGTTTAATCATCAGGCCTGGTGTTTGACTTTCATTCTGTGGATTATCATTTAATGTAAGAGTCTCTTTTTACTGTCAAAAACGGACATACGTTTAGTCATTACAATGGAGCTATCTGACTTCAAAACTGCCACCTGACAAGATAATATCTATGCCAGGATCCTTCTGATGCGTTAGGTAAGCTATTCATTGTCTTTAGGGCAGTAATGGAAGGTTCATGCACGCTCATGTAGCAAGGTGTGCTGCTTTGTCTGGGTTAGATTGTGTAAAGTGCAAATGTATTTTGTCCGGTGTTTGCATCTGTAATGTTGCTCAACAGGCGCCTCTTTATGTGTTGTGTGCGTGATGAGCTGGAGGGGCTCAGGTTATTTTGAGTGGGAAGCAAGGGGCAGATCCAGGCGGTGGCCAGGGGGGCCCCCACAGGGGATCTGATTGGCCACCCCAAGTGCCACATCGAAATCCTATATCAACCATTTTGGGTTTGTTTAAACAGGCCTTTTTTTCATTTCAATATGGCACATTTGTATTATTAAAAAAAAGGAAATTCTAGTATTTCAAAATTCAGATTAATCGCAGCATCTACTAAGACTAGTCACAATAATGTGTTTTTGAATTGATTGACAGAACTTCAGAAAAGTTAAGAGACTGTTTTGGTGTATTTGTAAGGAAAATAAAGACATACAGTATGAAGCCAAACCGACAGGATGCACACTTATTGTGTCTGTATCTCTGATGTACAGAAGATGTATGCTAACACAGCAACATGTTTTTTTTTATACACATATGGATTTCTCACAAATGTCCCACGGTTAAACACATAAAAGCAACACTGAATTTCATTTTAACATGTTTAACATGTCTTTTTGTCTTGTATTGCAGTAAACAGGCTCTTGTGTACAACTGCGTGGGCTGTGGGACTTTTCACTTACAGAGAATGGGCACGAGAAGAGTCGATGGAAAACAGTAAGAGAGTCCACACTGTTCTAACAGCTTATTTTGAAGTTTCTTTATGTGAAATAAAACGTGCAGGGTGACTTCAAGCGCACCAACCTTTTTCTGGACTTTGTTAAAAATGAACTTTTTTGTGTTGCTAAAGTTGAACCGTCTTTGATTTCTTTTTGGGGGCCGCAAATCTGGTAGTTGCTATGGGAGCTGGAGAGGTGCCAGATCACTTCCTGAGCACTGCCGAGGTGCCCTTGAGCAAGGCAACAAACCCCCCTCCCCAGCAATATCCCCTTGCAGGGATCAATAAAGTAAAAATCTCTTAATCTCTTAATTTCAGTATTAAGTATTCTGCTGCCGTCGGCCCCCCTGTTGGACCAGAGTGTAAGCACTGTGGGCAGAGACATCAGGTAAGACACACACACACACACACACACACACACACACGTCAAATACAGACAGGATATAGATTTAGAAGTCCTTCATACTAACTGAATAAGCAGAGAGACAATAAACAGCACCATGAAAATATGAGTAAATAGAAGTGAAACAAAAAAATATATTGTAACTGAAAACATAAGCTGCTTCACTCGTGTGCTCTCTAGAAAAATTCCGGACAGTCCTCCCCCGAAGTTTTCCATTTCTGCTTATTCTTGTGTCACTTGTGAATTTTCATGAATTTTACCTGCTGTGTTCACACATCAGCTCATTCTGACCACACAGACATTTTACATCTACGGTATATTGGGTGACTTAAGAAGGGGGACAACAGTTCCTAATTTATTGATTAAGTCTTTTATTTTTTTTGCATTACCACCTGTTTTCATATTTTTACTCAGGATGTCCCATTTTAAATCTTTGTTTCTTCATTGTCCCAAATATACTCTGTCCTCATGGATTTTTCAGCTGCTACTTTCTAATGTATTGATAAAGTTTACTAATCTATCTAATGTGTTTGTAGATCTGAGTTTGCCAACATGTTGAATACACATTCTGAAGCCTGTGTCTGTTCCTCCTGTAGCTGGGGGGTCCCATGTGGGCAGGTCCTATCCACGACTTGGCGTTTGTCCAGAAGGTTCTGTCTGCTGTGTCGGGGAACCCGTCCAGATTTGGGACGTCCAAACGTATTGAGGGCATGCTCAGCATGGTGACTGAGGTATCCATTTCTCTCTTTGAATCGAGAACTCATGAAGAGGTTCTTTCAGATTTACCTGAACTGTTTGAAAACAGCTGCCAAAGTATAACTGCAAACCATTGTTTTGTTTGTTTTTTAATCTTTCTTTATCCCTATACGCCTTCTAAATTCGATAATCTAAGGGAAAATCTCCGCTCACCCTCTAACCCTTGAGTTTGTGTTGCGAGTAGTGTTCATGGCTCTGCAGGTCACCAGAGAGAGGGATTTCTGTTTTCTAATTTGCCAATGGAATCCACAAGAACTCTTTTTTTTTTTCGTCTTTTGATGTTGTCTTGTGGATGCAGTTTAACATTAGATAATGAAGTTTATTTCCTTCTAGAGTGACACATTCTGACACTTTGATTGACTGTTTGTTTCAGGAGCTGGAAGACGTTCCTCTTTATTACTCTGTGGGCAGTTTGAGCAGCACAATGCACTGCACCACTCCACCTCTGCTGCAGTTTAGGTAAACACACACACACACACACACACACACACACACACACACACAGGAGTGCATGTTCTGATATTTAAATGCTTCTAAAATAGTTGCACCCCATGTATGAAGGCAGTAGTCCTTCAAGTGGCCGGCCAGGGTTCAAATCCGACCTGTGGCTCCTTCACCGCATGTCATTCCACACTCTCTCTTCCTTCTCAGACAATGGATTTCTAACACTATCCATTGTCTTTGCTAATTAAAGGCTTAAAGCACAAAATAATACAGAACAAAAAAAAAAAAAAAAAAGGAACTGGTGTTTTTCTGCTTCACAGATGTTTTCAGTGAGGAGTAATCCAGAGAATAACATCACAACCGTGTGGTCCCTCTAAAGTGCTCTGATGCCTTTAAGCCGATTTTAACCAAATGTTTTGTTTTAGTTTGTGATTCCATATAGGGTGAAAGGGTCGGCTCCTTTGCTTGAGTTGGTGCCGTTAATCAGAGCTGTTAACTTCAGCCTATTATGCTAATAGGCTAATACAACTTCTTGTGATGACATTTTAATATTTTCAGGGAGTGTCAACTTTTCACATACACAACAGAACAAAGAAACATCAACAACTTTCAAAGCAAAATAAACTTAAACATAACCACATTAACGACTGTTACCAACCTAACAAATATAAACAACTTATCAAACATGAATCACTTGACAAATGTAAGCAAGTCAACAGAAGTGATATTTTAGTTGACTTATCTTTTCGTCACTAATAAAATACCATCAGTAGTTTGATTAAGTAGATGAGAGTGTAAACAGGTTTTAAATCCTTAATGAATCATCTCTCTCTCTCTCTCTCTCTCTCACTCTCTCTCTCTGCAGGTCTGCTCTTCTTCATGCAGGTTACAGGGTTTCCCTCTCTCACGCCTGTCAGAGTGCCATCAAGACAGACGCTCCTCCTGCAGCCATCTGGGACATCATGAGATGCTGGGTAAGTGTGACGGTGCGGCTCCGTCACTGACTGCAAGCAGCACACACACTGATACGCAGACACACACACACAAGCCAAACTTTTCCCTCCTCGCCAGCGTTCCTAATCACTCAGTAAATCATACCATCATCTAACTTTCATATCATATCATCATCCAACTTTCCACTTTGTAACTACCAAGGGTGCACAATGAAGCGCTCCACTTTATATTACATACATTTTCACGACATTAAAGCACTCTTGCCTCGCGCCCAGCCACGTCCCGTTTGTGTGCCAAACACAGGCAGCACATTTCTGCATAGGAAATAGAGGGATGTGGCGCGCAGTAAACTCACAAATCTGTGTGTCACTCAATCAAATATTAATGTTTAAGATTTGTGAGTTTAAAAGGTTCAAATTCTTTAGTTGATAAGAAAATAAATACTATATTCATAATGCCAAGTAGGAGGGGCTTCTGGTTTAAAAGATGGCTGTCGTATGTATTTTCACTTCAGTCTGGATCTGGTAACGGATGCAAACTGCTTTCGTAGTGCTCGTATCATCCTCGTGTCTTGAGTTCTTTTTGGCATCCTTTGTTTTGTAAATATTGTAAATAGTGTTTTTTTTCTGCTCTGCATTTTCCGTCACTTTGGAAAAAAACATTTCACTGCACCAGCACCATATGAGGTCAGATAAAGTCATTTTCAGCATCACGACTACGCCTGTGGTTTCTTCTATATTTTTGGTTGTTTGAAAGAGAACCTCGCCACAGTAAACATAAATGAAAGATGTTCTCAATGAGTCAAAAGTTGCTTCATAACATGCTATGGATGTTCACTTGAATGTTTGATGATGACGCTTCATTTCTCCTTTCTGTATTGTTTGTCTGCTGTAGGAGAAGTTAAACCCTGTGAAGAGGGAGAAGCTGTCTCAGACGAGCCCCGCCTTCAAGATCCTCTCCACTGAGCCCAGGTAAGACCTGAGACTGTACTCAGAAGAACAAGTACACACAGCATCTAGTGCAGAATATAGAAAAAGTCTTAAATATCAACACAATTGTGAAATGTTATATTGTTTGACCAAGTAATCTTACATGTTCCCTGTAATCCTGTGTAATCCAGCCCTCGGCTAGGATCAGGAGCATCCTGTCACTTTGTTTTTTTAACCAGTCAGCATTTTCAAAATCAGTTTAAGTCTGGTCCCAAGTAGAGTAAAATACACAATAAAGTAGAATATTGTTAAGGGTGTATCAACCTTATTTAGGGTGCTACACCCTCTTCCTGATTTAGTTTTGAGCCCTAAAGTCACTCTGAGGAGTTTCTTGCTTATTTTCCAGTCAGTACATTTTATTAAGAGCTTGTTTTTTGTCAACAACTTCTTGATTACCCAAGAAATGACATGTACAGAGCAGTTTTTTTCTAACACCGTGTCCTAACAACACGAGCGTTATATGTGGCGTTCTGTCGCGCAGCAACGGATGCTTGCTGTCCGCACTGCATGTGTTAAATATTGAATTCGATTCTACGCAAACAAGCGTCAGCGTCAAAATCAGCCTCATTCTATTGTTTCCTATTGGAGTGTCCTAAAGTTTTTACCCCAACGCCCCGTTTCTATTTTCCTCTCTGTCGCTCGCGTCAACGAACAGGGAACGAGGAAGAAGGGGGCTCTACAAGGCACTGACACTTCGCTTTTCTCACTCTACAGAGCTTGGTAGCTCATCTTACAAAGGGGAGATAACGGTGCATTGATAATATCCACATCCGGGATTGAAATGTTGAGCTTTGACTTTTGTCAACACCGGAAAAAAAACTTTTATTCAGCTCACCGCGAGCCGTTTACCGACGAGCCTCTGTGTTGATTTGAGTCAGCTGCTCGTTAATACAAAGCACCACACATCCGTTTGTCCACCTTCAGTACAAAAGCAGTAGATGTTATTCTCTTTGCGAGGGGAGGATACTGAAATTTACAGAGCATAGAATTCAATATTTAACGCATGCAGTGTGGACAGCGCGCGTCCGTTGCTGCGCGACAGAATGCGACATATAACGCTCGCGTGCTGTTAGGACACGGTGTAACAGAGGGGAAGTCGACATAATCTGGTATGAATTGATAAGAGGTATAAAGACTATCACTGAGGACCAATGTGAAACTTCATTGTGTCATGATGACAGAGAGAGTTAAACCCTGAAACGGAAAAACATGTAAATCATTAAGAAAGTTTGAAGAAATCTTTATCTGAACTGATATGAAAGGATGGAAGAACAACATGCTGGAACCTGGAATCCTTGAATTTGAACCATCTTACAGAAGCCTTAAGCAGACGAACATCCATACATTTTATTTTACTCCCTTTTCCTGTGATAAGTAATTTCTGTTGGTTTCCTCGAGTTATTGACTTATTGTTTGTTGTTATCTTGAGATAGCATTGCTGGTACGTTTCCTCTCTGGGTTTCCGTACCATCTGTTCATTGATGTGTTATATATTTATTTTGTGGTTGCAATTTTGTTCCTTTCTGGTTCTTATCTTTTTTGGCTTTGTCTTAATTGATATAGCTTAACAGAAAAAAGGGATAGAACTAAATATGTGTTTTACTTCATTTACAGCAAGTCTCTGTAAAAAGCGTTGAATGGAGTTTTTTACTGATTATATGCTGTTATTGTTATTCTTTTGTTTGCCTATATCTCTTTTAGTTATCATTTTAAATTTGTGATGACTATGTCCTCCTTCTGTAAACCAGAAACAGTCAATACTTTGTCCTTTCACAGCTGCCAAACTCCATAGAAAACTCAGTTATTTGACCTCACATCACACCCGAGTCTTGATCTACTAACGGATGGATTAGTCTCAGTGTTGTTGTCTGGTGTTTGTGTTTCAAATGCTCAACAAACAAGTCAGGAGATGAGGACAAAAACATTTGTTAGTGTTAAACGTTTTTGAAAAGTCCAAGTTGTGCAAAGTCATTCTATAAAATGATTGATTTTGACATAGCAGTGTGGTGGCTTTGAGAGGATGTTTTGCTGTTTTGGTTTACAAAAAGAGAATCTTCCTCTTTGACACAAAGGTCCATCCCGGCAGGGTTATTTCGTAATAATCAGAAGAAAGGAAAACATTTTATGTACGTTTGTTTGTTTGTGTGTGTTTGTAGCCTTGAAGCCTGTTTCACTGTGAGAGAGGACGCCAACCCTCAGTCCCGTAAACGGCACCTGACCCGGTTCCAGGAGAACCCTCAGGCCTTCTGGGGACCCAAAGCTCGCGCCAAAGCTGGGTAACTTACACACCTCTGATCTTTCAGGACGCACACTTAAACACACATACCTAGCACTGAAAGGCTAACACACAATCAAAAAGCAGCCATAGTTGTGAGAATTGGACTTTAGGGGTATTTGTGTCTAAAAATGATCAAGAACAACATTTATTTTTATTTTAGCTACTTGGAAGCAATTAAAAACCCTAATTCATCAACAAAGTGAATTTGAATGTGAATTTATAATTTCACCATTAAATTAAGTTTTAGTTGAAAGAGCAAATTAGAAAAAAAACCTTTTCACATCTACTTCACAAGACAGGCAACTGATGTAAGAGTTGAAATAAGACCGGAAAATATAGAAATGTAACTTGTAGTTAAATTCTAATGCCATGTTTATTGTTTTTGCAATAAACCAAGAAAAGACCCCCTGAACTGGTCACTTAAACTACTGGTAATGAACATTTTGTAGAATAAGCTGTTAATGTATTTGTCCACCTTCTTGTTGCTTTTCTCCTTTCACATGTTGCTTCTGTTTTTTTAGTTTTCTTTCTTTCTAAACTCTCTCCTCCTCCTTCCTTTTCTTCCATCCGTTTCTAACCTCTCTCTCTCTCTCTCCTCTCTCTCCTGCAGTGGCGGTATCTCTGCTGACTTGCAGGACAAGCGAAAGAAGTGCCAGAACAAGAGAACGAACCCCATCACAGACCTTTCTCAGCTGAAAGAGTTTCCCTGCAAGAGGTTCAAACGGGTAGGTTCCCCTACAGAGCTCTGCTGCCATCACATACAAATAATAATCATGATAACAACATACAATCAGGTTCATTTTGGACAGAGGGCTGTCTGTGAATATTTACTCAGGCTCTCATAAACAGAACTGGTGGACATCTTTGTTGCCTCCTCATATTCTTTTTTTTAATTTGCTTACAGACTCCCCTAACATCATCTTAAAATGAAACTGATTAGGCATCACACACTCTTTTTTTCCCTTTGATTTTCTTGTGTCTTTATTACATAAGATGAAATGCGTCAGGAGATGCCATTGTTTAGCAAAGACAATTGTCTGAGAAATCATCTACTCTGTATTTTACTTGTGAGAAAAAAAGCTGTGTTCTCCTGGAAATGGAAATATAACAAACAACCTGACTCATTTGTTTCCAAGAACAGCAGCAGAGACTAATTAACAGTTTGTCTAGGACTTCATTGCTGAAATTATTTAAATCACTTGAATGTTGGCAGATTGAATTGTCCTGATGCCTGCAGACTCGCCCTAATGACAACGATTGTTATTAATTATGAATTACTCAGAAGTGCGCGTGCTAAAAACACACAAACTAGAGATCGTACCCAGCTACAAAACAAATTCATATGCATAGTGACAGAAAGGTTGAAGAGATCCAATTGAAAGCAAATGATGTGAAGAATCTCAACCTTGACGCTGTGGAGGGGTTTGCGTGTCCTGGTGAACCTGGGAGCTGTGTTGTCGGGGGCACTAGCCCCTGGTAGGGTCTCACAAGGCAAAGTGGTCTGGGGGGGAGAGACCGGACTAAGTTCAACAAAACCCCTAAGAAGCAAAAATGGGAACCAGTCACCTCAAGGGAGAAATCTATGAATTTCCACATGAGATGTGTGATGAGCCTTTCAATAGAGAGTCTGCAACCCATATTTAATCTCAGCCTTTTTATTTTTTTCAATGATGTACAGTCTTTTACAAAATCATCAATCAACATAATAAAAATAAACCACCCACTGAGTAATAAATGTTAAACACAGGAATCATTAACAGCATTGCATGCTTTTCTGAGGATGTCGCCAATGGAAGTCTAAAAGGGAGACAAACAGTTACTTCTATGAATCCTGAGGCTCAATAAGATTCCCTGAGAGTTGTTTCTTGTGTTTTTTCTTTAAAGGGAACATGCGACCATGGAGACAAATGCTGCTACTCCCATGACCTGAAGAAGACTAATGAGGAGAAAATGGAATAATTCACTTTTTTTTCCCTTTTTTTTTTTTTTAAAAGTACATTTATTTCTGTTTTATTGGCTTCATGCAGCCTGGATGAGGTAAACATGACTAATGGCAATCCAATTCTATTTAGCTGGAAAGAGAAACCTAAGAGCAGTTAATCCGCAAGATGTTGCTAAGCAGGAGACTTTTTTTTTACTTCTACAGCTCGTTGTTTCAGTCCAATAAAGACCTTGTGCTGACTTTTTCTGTTCTTTACTTATTCTTTTGGCAGTCTCGTGAAAGTGGTTGCCTTTGACCTTCGAGTTCAAGAAGTAAAATCGTCTTGAGACTTATTTGATGTAAATACATTTTTGTAGTAAGTCAATGAAAGTCTCCAGGTTCAGAAAAAACCTTGGAAACTTTATTTTACCTGAAGGGTCTTTGGCAACATTTGTGGTTCATCAGTATTTGTACAGACATGTCGCTGTAAAAATAAACACACAGTTAGAATCATTCACTTTATCAGCTGCTTGATGATCAGTATAAAAATCATTTTCAAATATTTACATTTTGGTAACAATACAAAGATTACGGTAATTGACTGATTGTCAGACAATCAGTTCAAGTTGGCACCAGATATTTTAAAGGATTTGTGTGATTGTGGACGAACTGAGAAGACCTTAAGTTGAAACAATGAACAAAAATGTGTTTTGGAGTTGTTAGTATTTTGGATGTTTCTGCTGCACAAAAGGCAGCTTCAACAAATCTATACATAGAAGGAACACTTCTAACACTGCTCATAGTGTTAAACGTTTTGTTAAGGAAGTGGTCGTCTGCTTGTGCTTACTCGCTCCAAACCAAGCTGTGTGAACTCAGCCTCTCGTTCTGTCATCACTCGTGTCCTGTACATTCGAGTAGAATTGTCTTTATCTAATCCAAACAAGCGAAGAGGCCACAAGAATTTAGATTGCATTGCTGACACTGAATCATCCTTTAAAAAAAAAAAAAAACAATGGATGAATGTGGTTGGCTACTTGAGGCTGACTCTGAGCAGGAAGGTCCGGATCTCCATGGGCTTCAAGGTCACCTCCCATGGGGAGGGGTCTTGAAACATCTTCAGCAGGGGCTTCTCACCTAAAAAATGCATAATACACATATCAAACAAAAGCTTACAAAATGTCTTCACATGGAATCAGTTTCTCATAATCAATTATTTCTTTTTAAACCCAGGCACTGTTTTCGCATTATTTAGGTTCTAAATGTCTCGTGGACACAACACGTTTTGAAATCTCTCCTGAATAGCTTACTGCCACAAGATAATCTTAAATGGCTGCTTTGTTATCCCTGAAGTGTCCCAGAATCGTACTTTAAGTGCCTGAAAGTTAGCTTTATCTTTTTTTGTTATCGTAAAACGATCATTGCGTCACCCTTTTCAAAACCACCAGACTCCATTGAGAAAACCAGTGATTTGACCTCACATCACACAAGAGGGTTTTGGTATATTACCAAATCTACCCCATTGTCTTTTAGTGTTACAGTCTTCTGTGTTTAAATGTTAAATTTTAACTTGACAAAATTAGTGTGGCATATAAAAACACTTTATGCAGTGGGTGAAAACAACAACTGTGTTTTGAAAGTAAAACAATAAAGTTATCAATTTTGTCAATGTAGTCTGGGGGCTTTGAAGAGAGCGATGGAACAGCGGTCACTAATCTGAGCTCGTTAGTGTCAAAACCAGCTCTTTTATTTGATGTATATTTGGCATTTAAAATTAAAAAAACGATAAAAGCTCCATTGCTGAATCATCTGTTGTAGAAAATGAGTTTTAAAAACACCCCACAGTTACTAGTTATTGCTATAAGCATAAAAATGCATTTATGACTCTTTACTTCACTGGCTGCTTGATTAGTCCCTGCAGGGAAAAAAATCTTTATAAAGTTGTCAGTAATTAAGTTGTCTGTGCTTAGCACATCAAAGTTCAAACTGAACCAGGACTATCCTGGTTCAGTTTGAACATTTTAAGTGAACAAGTGCCAAGTGCGCCATCAGTGACTGGCAGCTGGTAGATAAAACAGACACATTTGGCGGCCTGTTCATTTTCGCTATCAGAGCGCAGATTCTCTTCTGGTGACTCTCCCTCCTCTAACAGGAGGTCAAACTTCCAGGCTCAAAGTCGCTCTGTTAGCACCATGTGCTCAGCTGATCTTTGGGATACAGTATTTCTATCATCCAGCAAGATTGTCACAAAAATGTATGTTTAATATTCATGATGTGTTTTAAATGAACCCTCTCTGGTCTTTGTTCTAGTGCGACCAAAAGAATAACATTTCACAATCTATACAAAACCAGGACCGCTGAAGAGAGATAGAAATGTTGAGGGGAGACTGAGAGTAAAGGGCTAGAGTTGGACTTGAACCCACAGCCCCTAAAATGACGATCTGTATATAGGGGGCGGGACATAACTGCTCGGCTGCCCAAAAAAAAAAAAAAAAAACTTTAAGAATCCCCAAAGATCTTAAGACCTTGGCCATTCAGTATGCATTTGCATTTGGGTCCACCTCAGTATACTGAACATTTCAGTATGGATCGGATGCATCCTTTCAGGAAATGAATTGTATTTTACCACCCACAATGCTGTGCGAAATTAAATGTAAATCGTCACGTCACTTCTCCAAATCAAAACAAACGAGCGTGGATTAATTGAATCAATTTTTAATCTAGAGTTAAAGTCCCGACTGAAATCGCTACTTTTAATTAACAACAGAAAATATAAGAAATGTCTGCATTATTATAAAACCTTTCCCCCTCTATTTAAATAATGATTTCACTATTTAATGCGTCTTTATTGGTTTATTTTACTGTCTTTCGTTTGTATTTCCTTTATGTAGCCTACTGTATGTTATTTAATCTGTCTTTTACTTGATTTACATTGTGATATTGTTTTTTGTTTACCTGACTGTATATGCGCATTTCTCTTCTTGAATAAAGCTAAACAAAAAAAAAAACGGGTGAATGCGGCCGGTTCGGGAAACGTAAATGATGTCACTTCCATACTGAATGAATCAGACGAAGTAGGAACAAATATCTGCCTACTGTGCGCGCCTACTGAATAGTAGGTACTGAACAGTATACAGCACAGATAGTAGGTACTGCCTACTGAAAGACTGAGTAGGTACTTGGCAATTCGGATACGGCCCTTAATTTGGACACTCCATGTGCCAAGATGACATCTTGGTGTAGTAATGTTAAAGGTCAACAATCATTCATTCGAGTTATTCTCTGTGGTGGAGGAAGTCTCTGAATTGAGCCTTTTTATTTAAGTAATGAAGTCAGTGACAGGTGTAGGTGTTCTGTACCCGACTGTGGTGTCCATTTAAAACGGTTCATCTCGTCTTTCCACTGATTGGCTGAGAGATTGAGTTCGGACACGCCCAACACCTCCAGAGTGGAGAACAGCTTCTACAGGCACAGAACCAAAGACAGGGAGAAAGAATTAACAGTTATGGTCACATATACACCTGCGTTTTTACTTGATTACTTTTGTTTATGAAAATCACATTTTATAAAATGTCTGAAATGTACAAAGACACAAATTATATATTTTTTATAAAACAAGAGATCCCTGGGTTCTATGAACAGTTTGATGTAAAATCTAAAATATTCAGCATCATAACTTTAATTTCATTTTGTCAGAGTAAGATTGAATATCTGACCTGCAGGTTGACAGTGACAGGCTGAGAGTTCACTTTGCTCTCCCAGCTCTGGAACTGATGCTCAAGCCTCAGCAGTACCGAGTCCTTATCCCACTGAGTGAGTGTTAGCAGGTGGACAGCAGGGGGCAGCGCAGCCTGCAGCCCTGAGAACTACACATAACAGAGGACAGGGAGACAGAGGAAGGATAGTCAATGTGCCGTAACTCCAGTCATAAAGGCTGCATAACAAAAACATGTAAGAGCCTATTTGTTCATTTATATGCGTCACCAATTATTACTCCCTCTATAAACCTGTCTGCACAACTCGAGCTAAAATCAACAACCAGCTCAGACTACTCTCCTGAGATCGTTGGCGATGAGAACAACAACTTGTGAAAATGCAAATATGTACAAAGCAGGACAGAAGTCAGTAAGAATTAGAAAACAAAGAGCATGATAGGAATTAAAAAGTCCTGCTTAAATCTCCAATAATGCAAAAACTTTCTAATTTTTTATCAGCCAGACTGTTTATTAACACATTGGTTATGTCACATTATTTCTCTCGTCCTTCTTTAATTCTGGTGCCCACAATTTGGATAAAAACAGAAGCACTAATATTCAAATGGATAAAACAGACAGAAAATAATGTTAAAATGTATGGTTAGAGGACAGACTTTTCATAAGAATACTGTTCAACATCAAGTTTATTTTAAGCATTCTGCTTGTTGACCATATTTATGTTACAATACAGTAATAAAGTATTGTTTTGTAAACATATATTTTTAAAGTGTCAATTTCAAACGACTGTTCACCATATATATATATATATATATATTTTAAGTTGCTGTTCATTTAAAGTTATTATTTATTGTAGTTATTCTTTAAAAAAAAAAAAAAAAAAACTACAAGATGGCACCAACTTACCTTGAATCTCAAATACCAATCTCTGCCCTGAGCTCTGAACCTCACTTTTCCTCAAACCAATGCATTGCTGGTAATAGCAAGTGTTTAATATATTTGTGGTGATATATTTAGGAGAACTAAAGAAGAAAGGGAAATTCTGTGTGGTAGTTTGATTCGATTACAAACATACAACAGACAAAGCATTAACGTTTAGAGATGTCTGTTCATGTAGATTTTGCAGAGGGCAAACAACACCTTCTTTTTCACGTTTGTCACTTTCTTATGGATTATGGACCAGTCCCTCATTCAAGGTCTGCAGAAAGAAACTCGTCATCAGAGCCAGGATGCACCCGACACTTTTACACTGTCACAGACCAGAACCCCTTCAAAGACCCTGAGTGTGGAAACAATAAAAGTAAACATGTCGCTCTGATCCTCCACCACTCACCTCCAGTTTAGTGTTTGGGTGCAGATCGCCATCAGTGAACGTCAGCAGCGGCTGCAGTACCATCTCCTGGGCCAGGGGGCGGTGTGCGTCAGCTGCGCTTGGCGGGCGGTCGAGGGAAAGAAGGAGGCGACCCCGGACCACCAGCCCCTCAGGGAAGATGTGAGAGGTTTCGTTGAGAGGCTCTCCAACGCCACGGACATCATCGTACAATAGCCGGCGGTGGAGCTGAGAGGACGGAGGAGTGGGGGGGGGGGGGGGGGACTTGATTACTCTTCAACTGCCTGGAAAGGATCAGCCGTGTGTCTGTGTTTGTGTGTGCGCGTGTCTCACCATGATCTCCAGAGAGCCATTGTGGAGGCTTCCTCCTCCTTGAGAGCGATCGGTCACCACAGTGAGTTGATCCATGTCATCCTGAAAACACAAACACACATACTAACTGAGAATGAATCAAAACACTAAAGACTGAGGGAGAAAAAAAAAAAGTTACATTTTGGAAAGACCAAGGAGACAAGAATGAAAATATTAATCCTTTACTGGAAACCTTCAAACATCAAAAATCAGCAAAAAAAGGCTTCTATTAAAACCTGTTTAGTTTTTAACCAATGAGTCACTACTAGTAGCTTAAAAAGTGGAATTCTTTTGGAGACACCTTTCACACACACCTTGATAAAGGCACGTGAGTTGATGGGGTAATAGTTTCCAGCGATGGGCTCTGACTGCTTCAGGTTCCAAGTCGGTCTGAAATCTTTCCTTCAGGACAAAACAAGAAACAAAAACACGTATCCGAATGTCCCGATGAGACACAGTAAGTCCTGTACCACATTTTATCAGCAACATTCTTCTTTTAAATACACATTCTGCTATCTGGTGGAATATTTTGCCATCATAGCCTCGACTAACTTCTAAAACTTTGCCAAATGTAAATAGTAGGAGCTTTATTTCTTCATTTAAAAAAAAAAAGTTCAGCATACTTTCTCTGCAGCACCTCTCTGCCATTGGAGTCCGTGTAGAAATATTCATCTGTTTGAATGCTGGTGTCGAAGCGAGTGATCACCTCCTTCCCCAGGTCATCACTAATAGATTAAAAGAAAAAAATGTGACAGATGAAGAAATACTTTTTTTGTCTCCAAAATTAAGTGATACAAAAAAAGGAAAACAACAATTACTTATAGTCAAGAAAATAACATATTGTTATATCAATGTGCCGATATACAATTTGTGCAGAAAACTATAAACCACTGTCGTGCATATGTGACGATTCACACTCACTCAATGGGCAGCGGTCCGACTGTCCACTCCAGCTCCAGAGCTCTGCTGTCGCTATAGAGACGAACCACCTGAGACACCCAGGGAGAGAACCACTGCCTCACCTCCTGAACAACAGGAGTCTGCAAGAAGGAAACCACACAAATAATCATCTTTTTTTTTTTTTTTTTTAAATCAACTTTCTACCATTAACTTTTGCCAATTACTGAAACTTAAACATATCCTGTAACTTTCTACTTAACATAGTCATTGTGACATAGTCCATTTGCTTCAGTACAATTATTTTCAAGCCTTAAGTTTGGCATTTCAGTCGTCACTTTTTTGCTGTTTTGGAGCAAGGAGTGTGGATTCAGATTGCCACAATTCTACAGGTGTGCAGTTGCCCTAAAGCATACCTAGCTTGTCTATTTAATCTAAATGAGACCATGATCAAATAAAATCTAAAACTCTGCATTAAAGACGACTATTAAAAAAGTGATTTAGAACATAAGCTCATTAGGAAAATGTTTACTGAGTAATAAATCATCAGACATCGGTTCATTACTTTTCATGACTTTTTGAGTCTTCAGCTGAATCTCCCCCTGCTGGTAGTTATAAAGAATGCATTTAAGGCACTACAGTGTTGCATTCATTTGGAAACCCAGAAGCTATGTCCTGTTTCTTTCTTTTTTTTTTTTAAATAATGTCTATCATTTAAAATCACAGATCTTGGCATCTTGAGTGTCCTAACAGATACAAACAGCAGGCACCCTAATGATTAGGGATGTCATACTACTACTGACGTCAAAAGGATTATTTATGAGTCATTACAAGGTGATGGAGCTGTGTATGTTACCTGAATGCACTCAGTCTTTGCCGTCTTGCTGATGATGAAAGGTGTTGAGGAGTTGGGTCTGAAGATGTAGGCACCTGAAGGCTGGTTGCTCGCTGCGTTATTACCGTCACTGGCATTGTACCTGCATAAACACATTCTAACAAACGTAAGACGAGTGATCTGCAGGCGAGTTTCTGTGTACTGCTATCACAGAAGACACTAACCAGTAGAAATTCTGCGTCAGTTTAATACTCTGCTTGGTCTCCAGGTTGCTGAGGCCGCTCAAGAGGCCAGTTTCAGGGTCAAAGGTGGCTTGCAGGAACTGGAACACATGGGACATAAAAAAATCCCTCTGTTTTCAGACTAGAAATCAACCTACTAGGCAAATAAGGATAATAAATGCACACAAATCAGTTTAAAACGTACAAAGTGCACAGGATAAGCTGTTGAGTAAGCACTTGTTAACAGTTGTGTTTTTGAAATCCTTGTTTTTGTGAATGTATAAGCTGCTTTTATAACACAATAATTACAATCCTCAGGAGTTCATGAAACAATTGATGCAGTTTTACCAGTAGCCATAAAACAAAAGCATGAAGAGCAAGACTTTCACACGATCTCTATCTGTCTTCTGATTTTCAAGTTTTGTTTGTGAATTCTCTGAAATTAAAACCATGTTTTTTTTTTTTTTATATACACTTATTCTCTGTGCTGTAGCATGAAGCAGATGCATCACATTTCGGAGGTAAAAACCTTGTTCTGGATGCTGGTGGTCGGTTGGTTGTGTGTGGAGGCTGGTGGAGGCCCGCCCTTAAGCAGCGACACAGAGTAGATGGTGAAGCCCAAAGGAGGAGCCTGCACCTGGAACAGCAGCTCGTTGACGGCGAAGCCTCGGTTTCTCCTCACATCCGCGTGGCTGCAGACACTGGAACCACCTGGAACACAAACACGGGGAGAAGACATCGTGTTCACATTTTAAGTCGGTAAGAAATGTCAGAAAATACTTTATAGTCTTCATATGAAAGGAAACATTATGTGCGTCTGCAGGGCTACTTCTAAAAAGGAATGATTTTCCAGAATCTGGATTGTTTTATGAAATCCAGCCGTTCAAATACTACACTGACATCAGATGTTGTCATCAGTCAAAGCTTTGCAAGTCTGATGATGTGAGGATTGCATAATGTAGTACGAGTTTATTATGAATGTTACAGCCACAGAAAACTTCTGTGTAATTTATAATCTTCCCAAGCATGACAAAAACTGTTCATATATAAAGTGTGTATTCCTACGGAAGCCCTGAGGGACAAGTAAACTCAAAACTTTATAATCTTGTGTTCATGATTTATACAATAGAGGATGTATAATTTTTCTTGCTACATTTCTTCGTCTATAAAATCTCTTTGAAACAAATCACATACTGTATGAAGACCTGGCACATGTAGAAGTCAGAAAACAAAGCGCTTCAGTCCTCTTTCTGCACATATTGTATTAGTCCACACTCTCTTGTTGTCAAAATGAGTATTTCAACAAAAAAACAGATTTACTCAATTTAATTATTGTTTTTTTTTAACGAGCAAAAATGTTTTTCAACAGTTACAGAAGTGAAAAACCTTTTTAAGGAATTGAGATTATTATCCACCTGCCCTCAAGTGATAAACACAAGAGGAAAGACTGTTGAATAATGGAACTTTGTTGCTCACTTGCCTTTCAAGTCATAAAAAAATATATATATTTTCACCGATTTAAAAGCTGGTTAAGCAGCTCCAGTTAATCACAAAGTCAAATATTCTGATTGCAGATTGGGGATACATGGTGTTACTTACATCATGTGTCTGATGCTGATGCTAGTGCTGCCAAACACACACACACACTTACCTGGCAGTCAACAGCTTTGCCGTTGGCATCCGATACAGCATACGCTGTTCCATTGACTGGCAGCCTGACCGACCAAGTGACGGGGTGAGCGAGAGGGTTGTACACATTAACTGAGAACTGAGAGCGAGAGCGATATAAAGAGAAAGGGTTAGGGTTGAGCATCATAATAAGTTTATTTTTTACATCTAGTGGAAAAAATAAATAAACAAAGGGGTCCGAATAATGTGTGTGTGTGTGTCACCTTGTTGCTGGATTCAGTGAGAGGACACACACTGATGTTGAGGTTGTCACAGTAGACTCGCTCAGCAGACGAGCCGCTCAGAGCAGCCAGACTGTTACTGACCAACACCTGACGGAGCGATAAAAAACAAAACAAATTTTCATCCACAATCAGAACTACAGAGACAATGGAAATATATCAAATTAAAACCGCAAGCGGTGCCCTCACACCCCTGTGCATGTGGGGGTGTGTCGCGACCACGGGGAGAACGGCATATGCCATAGCATATGAGTGGCATATGCCGTTTAGGTCATCTCATGTGCTGCTGGCACATGGCGCGGCATATGAGGCATATGCCACAGAGGACAAGACCGGCATATGCCCGAAGCTTTAGTTTCTTTGTGAAGATTTAGTTACCTGACAATGCTGCCAGCCTGTAGCGAGCCTCCTGGCGTAGTCGTTGGCAACGTGTTGTTTCTCTGTGCCTGACACAGCATCATGGTGCTGAGCCACAGCCATGGCTTTCTCTGACAGAGAAGAATTAAGGACATTTCTGGTGAGTTATTCTGCTATTTGTAATATGGCAGAATCTTTTCTCACTCAAGTATAAACATGACCACTAGATGGAAACTACTTCCCTCCTGACTGGTCAGTGCCATTAGTATGAAGTAAGACAAAACAAAACTCACTCATGGTCTGGCTGTCTCCGTTACCAAAAGGCCCATTCTTGGAGACTGGACCACCGAGTACTTCCAGCTGGTTACATGTCTGCAAAACATAAATCACAGTCACACTGTCTCAAGAGTCTTTAGACCTTTTTCATCACAGATCAGTGTATTTAGAATTTTAGAAACCGATTTGACATTGTTCACCTGCAGTCGCAATGATCCCATGTTTAGCTGTGTTTGATGAATTCTGCTCAGTCAGTTTGGGTTTACCGACTTTCAAATAAGTTGCTTCGTGAAATCTTTCACTTATGTGTCCTCTGTTTAAAGGTATTTTCACTGCATATCTACTATTCTTTATGCTTTGAATGTACAGGCAGTATTTGGATGTTGGCTTTGATAACAATAAATATGCTTTTCAACTGGAGGCGTGGAACTGAAAACTACCTGCAGGTTGCTGTTGCTGACCCTCTCATAACGTTTCAGTGCCGGTCGGCTGGTAAAGTAGCCGGTCCAGAAGTCATGAGCATCGTCGGCATAGGGGAAAAAATCATCCGTCTTCAAAGCCCTGGGTTAAAAAGACGAAGACGTTATAGCACAATGGGTACAATTCAAAAATTGTTCCTCAAACCAGCACATTTCCCCGTTCATTTAGAGTTCACCGTACCAGCTGAGGTTTGCTCTGTGCAGCTCCTGCAGGTAGCAGGAGGGGGTAGAGTAGAGCACATTGACTTTGATGCCATTCGCCTGCTGGGCGTTAACGTAGTGGATCAGCTTGTCCAGATTTTTGTACCACAGGTTGGCGTTCTCATACTGGAAGTCTGATCCCATGGTCATGATAATGTGATTGGTCTTATACACCTCAGACTGAAGGAGAAGAACGTTGAGGAGAATTAAAAAGGTATGATCAAACGTGAGCATGGCCAGGAAGTGAATGTCCCAATGTTATCGTTGAAGTTAAAAAAAAACTTTTCTTTACTACATTCCCTTTAAAATAAATGCTAGCTGATATCACACCTGTCAGGATACACTTGTGATCAGGTTCAATTCAAGGGCCTGCTATCGCTAAGGCCCAAGATCACAGGCACGTGTAACAGAATCACTTAACGTGATGTCATCATTTATTACTTACAACTCAATAGGTCAATGTAGTCACTTTTTATAAATGTTATTGAACCATTGATCATTACACTAATACTGACTCCTGCTCAGAGTTCTTGTGCAGTTTTATTTATTAGGCATAGTTTATTAAAGATTGCAGCTTTTACTCATATGAGCCCCTATGAGATATAGTGTTGATGTTAAGGTGAGTGGGTGTGTCTCTAACCTGACTGCCAGCGATGGTGAGGAAGCGATTCACCACATCATTGACATTATAGTCCTCCAGGTCAGGGTCGTCTCTGATTGGTGGGTCATCACAGGACTGATCCCAGCAGAAGCCTTCAGGGGGGGTTGTACCCATTGGGAAGGATCCCTTAAAAAAAAAAAAAAAAAAGACTGTCATGCACCTTTTTCCAACAGATAATGGAAAGAAAAATTGTTTAACAATTATTTGGTTAAGTGCAGGTCTTTTGTTACCAGTAAAGAGGTCTGCTATGGGGGGGCGTGAGGCTGTCAGAGGCTCTCCACAGAAGCTCCTGCTCCTTCGCGATCATCCTGTGACGCCGATCCTGGTAGTCCAGACGTCCAAAGAAGAAGCCGTCATACCCCATCTTGTTCAAAACACACAGGACACGGTTAGGCTGAAGCTCAGACATAAATCAAACAAACTTAGGTGGATTAAAAATTCAAAGGAACCGCTTCTGATTTTGGTAAATATGCAGCTTAGCTTACTTGATGAGAATCAAAGCAGAAGATGAATACCTCTCGCTGGTCTGTACAGCTAAGTGAATGCTAAAACATGCTTAGCTTAGCATAATGACTGGAAACAAGGGGGAACTAGCTCACCTCTTTGTGCAGGTAGCAAACTCTGCCCGCTAGCACTTTTAATACTAAATTACTTCTCATTTTTATTTTGACCAGATACAAATCTGATCTAATTTGTTGGACTGCCTCTTTAAGATAAACTACCTGCGCAAACATGGAGGCGTGTTCACGAGCGTGGCCAAAGGGGTCTATGTGCCAGGCGACACGAGGGCGACCACAAGGACCGAAAGTCTCGTTGAGGAACCTCAGGCCCATCGTCATCTGGTCGATGACAGCGCTGTAGTGAGTGGTGGCCTCGTCACTCATGCACCAGCCCCCGTTGACAAACTCCAGACGGCCTGAAGGCAAAAAGGAGGAATCAGGTAAAAATGTTTCTCCAGGTTACGGAGGAGAACCCTTGTAGTGGAAAGGTAGAGTTTTTGGTTGATGCACCTTCATTAACAAGCTGTTTGACGGTCTGCTGCATGCTGGCGCTCTGCTGTTTCCACCAGCGGTAGAAGAACGCTGTCTCCACATAGATAAACCTCCGGTCCGGGTTCTTTAAGAGCTGATCCACCACAGAGTCCAGGATGTACTGCACTCCTGCATGCTGGATGTCATTACGATCTACACACAGATACACACACACACACACACACGCACACACACACGCACACACAGCAGACAAAGGCAAAAGTGTGTCGAAGGTTTGACTGATACTCAAATGTATTTACAATAATATATGAAACATTTCACCTTCTCTGTAAAGATGTTTCCATGGCAACATTTCAGAAACACTATGGATGACCTTTTTAAATCATTTTCAAGTTTTTTTAACCATAAAACTTAACACTCATGTGCACCCATGCACTTTTCCACAGCAGGTGATCTCTGTTTATAGAACCACTAAAGGTCAAAAACAGATGGTGGATCTCTATAAAAAAAAGGGAGACATGTGATGCTGAAGCAGACAAGCTGGTCACTGAATCACTCTCTCGCATTATAAAGAAGTGTTATCACAGTGTTTGTTAGTGAAGATGGCTGACAGAAGTCACATGACAGGACATTAAAAGGATTGTTTTCAACCTGCTTTGTTGAGAAAACAAATTGTAAAAATGAAAAGTGTTATGTAAAAGCCTTTATAAATATGTAACGGTGATTTCCTTTTAGGGTTTTATGATTGTAGAGATGAAACATGACATGAGTCTAGGTGCGGTGCTGAATTGAACACGATTTAGTTGCTCTCTCTCTCTTATTTAAAAAGAGGTGAAATGTGCAGCAGAATTTTAAATGATCCGGCAGAAAGTTTACTTTGATCTGTCGGAGAAAAAGCTGCCTCGAGGTTCACATTGGTACTCTGAAAGATGAATCGCAATAATATTGTGAGCATCAGCAGCTGTAGAGCAAGATTTTTGAAATGGAGGACGCACCACCTCTCTTAAATCGGAGGTGTGGAAGCATTCCCTGCTTCCCCAAGACAGAAAATGAAAGAGGTGAGAAGATAACAGACAAAAGACAAAAGATGTGTGCAAATATTGCGAGAAGACTCAACTAGTGTAACTTGTGGACAGGTTTCGCACTAGATAACATATCACAGCTTTTGCAGCCTACTTTATACTTCTTAGGCTTTCAGTGTTCAACTACTAAACCAGTGCTGTCAAAGAGTGAACTACAGAAGTACAGGAAACAGACCCTTGATATCATGCATATTAAATAAGTGCTTAAATGGCTTCTCATGTGTTACTGACCTCCATAGTAATACTGGTCAACAGTCTTGAGCCAGCCGACATCATCGTGTGTGTGAGGGACCAGGTGGACGTTCAGCATGTCTGGCTTGGTGGCATGACATGACTACACACACACACACACACACACACACACACACACACACACACACACACACACACACACACACACACACACACACACACACACACACACACACACACACACACACACACACACACACACACACACACACACACACACACACACACACACACACACACACACACACACACACACACACACACACAAGCACACACAAAAACACACTTAATAGGATGGCTACTGCACCACACAGTCAGTACAAGTAATATAGAGATACACGAGTACAAGTTTAGTTCCCCAAAACAAAATGTCAAAGCAGATCATTCGTATGAAACTGAAAGTATCCCTAGCAGGAAATCAGAAACTTACTTTATCATGTAAACATTTTTTTTTAATAAAAGTAATAACACATGATACATGTAAAATGAGCTGACCTCGTATCCGCAGGTAGAAGTTTGTTGTGTGTCCTGGCCCAGAGGAAAACTTAAAACCCCATAGAGCAGGAAGAAGAGGACAACAGCCAGCTGCTGCTGCTGCTGCTGCCTGGACGCCATGTTGAAAAAATGAAAAGTTATCATATGACTTCTGTTTATATTCGGTGGAGTCACGTGACGGGACCTCCCAATGGAGTGGACGGGAGGAGGCTGTGCCCTCATTTCAGACTCTCAGGCAGCAGGGACGAGAAACGAAACCGCGGGCAGAACGATGCTGAAGTCAAAGTAAGATGTGTCACTCCGTAAGAAGCAATGTAAAGCCAATCTTCAAGTACGGTTACGTTGTTGGTGTCGTCTTTAGTGGGTCCTATTGCTGAAAAGTTGTTGCAGAAAATATTGATATCATACTAATGAAAGGCCAATATGTAAATACTATGAATTGTAGAACATCCTAATTCGAGCTGCAATTAATTAATTCCAATTATTTATTGTTAATGTTTTTATATTTTTGTTGATTATTAGGCCTATATTTTACTTGGAAATGTATCAAATTGACGAGTTAATGTTGTTATTTCTTTTAATCCAAAGGAATTTAAAAGAGAAAGGGGGTCTATAGGCTTTATATTTTCTATTTTGAGTTGAACTGTGTTTCGAATAGGTGTGATATCTGACTGTTAGGGAATCCAAAAGCTGATTTCTTGAATTGTTTTATTTGGTTTGTCTCCCCATAATGAATCTGCTTTAACTGTTAAACAGCCATGCTACAGCACTCATGCTTTAAATAATAACAATGTTTCCATAACTTTACCTGACCTATCAACGGAAAATTGTAGCAAATCCTTATCAATTTTAGCCCTATTATTGTTATTTCTTAAAATGTGGGGATGTTTCATGTTGGCCTATTAGTAGTTAGCACAAAAGATACGGTTCAGATTTTTCTAGATTTTTTTCTAGCTGAGAAATTCATTTGAAAATAACAAACTATATATTCAACTCAAAGTAGCTGTGTTACATTTCTATAAATTCATAGATTCTGTGGGACACAGAAAGTAATTATCCCCAGAGACAATGATATGCAGGAAATACTATGACATATAATTTGGCCGCTCTTTCTCCCTGAAATGATATCACAACACATCGGATGTCCATTATTAAAGTGTGTGTTCTCTTCTGTGTCGTTGTGTTGGGTTCAGTCTCAGCAGTGTGACTGTCCCAGTTTTTATACTCATACAACATATTGGGGAAATGTCTCATTAGAAACTGGACATGATGTCTTTTAACAATGAGCACATAGGGAAAGGATAAGGAAATACATTAAAGCAACTGAAAATGCTCATACAAATAAATAAAAAAATAAGATACACAAAAAATGATTTTTTTAATGTTTGCATTCAGGAAACACAGTTGTTCATCATTTAAAACTTGTATAAAACACAATAACTCCACAGAGTAACATCGTCATGTAGATGAGTCCATGTTTTCAGGTTAGTCCTGTGTGCTGTTGGGTGTCTCTGTGCTGCTGCCTTCCGTGTGTGAACACACACTCTGCTGTGTTTCCTCCTCTAACCTCCTCTTGATAGTCAGCTCTCTCTCAGCTCTCTCAACACATGGCGCTTTGGCCTCCTGGATGTGGAGCCTTCCGTCTGGAGCCAGGTAGCAGGTGACGGCTTCAGGGTTCAGGCCTTCAGGCAGATCAAACTCCTGTCTGAACTCCCGGAGTGTGTAAGAGAAGCAGCCTTTCCCGTCCTCCTGCTTCTTCTCTGTCTTCCCGCTGACTCTCAGCTTCTTGCCCACCTGCCTGACAGACAGCTCCTCTGGGGAAAAGCCTTCAGTGTCCAGAGTCAGGCCAAAGTGCGCTCCCTCTTTGTCCAGCTGGTAGGAGACTGGTTTTATGGCCACACTGGTTTGGAAAGGCTCTGTCTCCTCCAGGACATTTTGTTGAAGTTTGTCCATTATCTGCAGCCTGCTGTGGAGCTCCTGTTGGTTTCTCTGCAGTAGATCCTCCTGGTAGAACAGAGGTTTGACCTCTGGCCACAGACTGCCAACAGGCCAGTAAGAGTCCATAAAAGGACTGAGGGCAGACTGGAGTCCATGAGTGCACAGCATCTTCAGTGAGTAGAGTCTTCTTGTTGTGAGATGAAACTCTGTTAAAGTGTGTGTTCTCTTCTGTGTTGTTTGTGTTGCGTTCTGTCTCTGCAGTGGGACTGTCCCAGTTTTTATACTCTGACTGGAGGAGCTCCAGAGTGTTCAGGAACTTTCCTGTCATTACCACAGCTTTCCACTTGGAGGAGCTGTGACTCAGAGTTGGTGATTTCACTGTTAATTCATCTTTGATCTGGAGGTTTTCCAGTTACATTCGATGCTAAATTTGACAGCTGCAGTCAGACAAACGCTGAATAGAAAAATTACATATTGCAAGATATATTTTCAAACATATATTCTGTTATTGTTTGTCACAGTCCTATTTCAAACTCCTATTTTAAAATGTATCATCATTTTACACTTTTATAAAACACAATAACTCCACAGAGTAACAACATCATGTAAATGAGTCCATGTTTTCAGGTTAGTCCTGTTGTTTGTCACTGTGCTGAATATTTCATATATTAAATGTGCCTCAACACTTTTCATGGATGTCTCTGGGGATTCTTAGCAGCAGATGTTTTAACTTTAAAATGATCCCTCTGTCCCAACAGTCAATCAAATGATCTTTTCTATTGTTATCAGACAGGGGATATCAATCAATCAATCAAATCAATCAATCAATCAATCAATCAATCAATCAATCAATCAATCAATCAATCAATCTCTATTTGTAAAGAACCAATTCATATATCTCAATACACTTTACAAAAGAGCAGATAAAAGACCTTACTCTTTAATACATTATATTATAAAAGCATGTATGACAATAAGAGACATGTTTAATTTAACAGAATGACAGTTATAGGGGGACTCACAGCATGCTTATAACCTTGAAGGTCCATACAGTGATGTAAATGTACAGTATGCTGAACATAACATGACAATATGGAGAGATTGATGAAAAGAACAGCAAACAGAAGCACAAACTCATCAACATTAGACTCCTCAGAGACATCTAGTGTGGAGGCACATTTGATAAATTAAATTTTCCCATGTAAAAATGTCTTTTTATGTAAATTGTTGTTAAGTGTTTTATGTCTGAAACACTGTAGTTGTTCTGCTGCCTCTTGGCCAGGACGCTTTTGTAAATGACATTTTTTTTTCCTGGTTAAATAAAGGTTAAATGAAATAAAAATAAATATTATTAAGATTAAAAAAAAAGAAGCTGTTTACAAGAATAGCTAAACATATTAAATCATAAACACAAAACATTGTGTCTAATATCATTTATTTTAATAGAATTACTAATATTCCTACTATTATCCTCATATCCGTGTCTGACTATGGGACACTAAAGTGTTGAAAATCAGGCCACTAAATTTAAAAGGACCTTTTACTGTTTATTTATTTTTTAATATGGAGACACAATTTGTGCACCTGTGAACAGGTAAGAAGACGTCAACATCTAATTTATTTTGTGGGCTACTTGAATTAGGATTATTTTAATAGGCCTATGTCTGTTTGGACCAGGTGATATCATTTGGATAAAACGCGTCCAGGTGAGACCTGACAGTCCGAACAGACATGGTTTTAGAATGGACCACAACATTCTATGGTTGCTATGGTTTTTCGGTGCATAATTTCTAAATGACTTACATTCAAACTCACAAAATCCCCAAACGCTCAGAAAAGTACACACAGATTTTCTTGCTGCCTCAAAGCGAACAATTTCTTCCAAAAAGAAGCTCAAAAGACGACTTTTCCACCTGGACCTTCACTGACGACCTGCCCCTGACCAAACCCCTGTTTTTACATCGACAAAGTAAGATTTGAGCTACTTTTTAAACCCTGCTTTTTGCCCCGAAGAACCCCAAAATTCCCATGTGTAAATATTATTAAAGTAGCTCACATTAGTAAGAACTAATGTGTGTCCGGATTCTAAAAGAAAAATAAAAGAAACATTTATCAGTGATGAAGGTTCCAATGAAAGAAGTATGTGTGTGTGTGTGTGTGTGTGTGTGTGTGTGTGTGTGAGTTTGTGTGTGTTAAAAAGTAAGAGTTACAATACAGGGGCGCCAGATAGCGTAGTGGATATGTCACAGGCCCCATGTACACAGGCCATAGTCCTAGTCACAGTGGCTGTGGGCTCGAATCCAACCTCTGCCCTTTGCAGCACGTCAACTCCAACTCTTTTCTCCGAATGTTTCCTTGTCTCTCTTCAGCTGTCCTATCCAGAGAGACAAACATTGCTGAAAAAATATCTTAATGAAAAAAAAACAATACAAATGTGGGACTTGGCTACAAATACAAGTTCTGAAGTTCTAGTTTAGGTATTTTTTAAGAATTAAATTTCAAGTTTTTATCATAATTAAAAATAAATGTTGTACCATGAGTTGTTTAATGCAACTTAACTTCCCACAGTTAAGTTGCAGGTCTGGCAAAATGAAAACCAAAGCAGTGGCTCAAAAGGCGCAAAGTTTTCAATGACAGTAGGAAAGTTCACATTTTGTCATTTCTTCTGTTGATGTCAGATCATTTATGACATAATGGTGATGAATGCTGGTTGGAGAGGCCCCCTGTGAATTGTTTCACCACTGCCGACAGTAACAACTTCTTCAGCAGTAATCCTCGTTAAAATGTGCTAATATTTTTTAAAACAGCTTCAGACTGTTGATTTAGATTCCCACAATTATTTTTATTGCAAGTCAAGGTGGAATGACCTCATCTTGGAAAAAGAAGCAACACTCAGACAATCACAACATATTTTACAAACACATGAACTAAAGTACAGCGAGTCGACAGGAAGAAAGAAGACACAGGACCAAATATACACACAGACCAGCACGGACCATTCAGTTCATGTTACAAACCCACAGCTTGAGGAATAATGCACTTCATGTAAGTAAAAAAACAGTTTACAAACAATTGATAAAAGCAATGCAATGATCCAAGAACAACTGTGGCAACTGTATGGCATTCAACAGAATGAAGAGAGGTCACTTGCATAACTGCACTTCAATGAGTGTAGGAAGTAGATCCTTACCCACTCTGATGCTACAATCAAACTATTTTAATGTGGAAACAGGTCTCAGGGACACAGTGGCAGACTTATCAAAGTTTTCTGGTATTTATTTTGATATGTTTTATCCTCTACACTCCCATCTTGTTTTCCTTTTTTTTCCCCAATGCTTGATGCTAAAGGGTTGGAGCAAGTCAGTTTTTACTACATGGATATTTTCATACAAAATATGACTTGATATGTTAAGATATGATAATTGGATAGTGATTTCATGGCTTTGGAAGCATGCATAGTAAAGTCCAGTGTGTATGTTCTAAATTAATTTACATATTTAAAATATGTAATAAGTTAATTAACTGCTGGTTAGTTATATACTGACACAGATATGATCATAGATGAAAATGTGAAAAGTTTGATGATTTAAGAATGACGTTTTTCTTTATTTTATTTTTCTTGCTGATTCAGCAGATCGATACCACTAGATCAGTGCAAGCAGCTACCTCCCTTAGCTTAGCACAAAGACCTGACAAATATAATTTATACATAAACTTGCCCACATTGAAGACAATAACCACTTACAGTTACAAAAACAACAACAACAGACAAACAAAAAAACAGACATCACCCGAAGAAAATCCTTTGCTACATATGGCCTTTGTTTCGTCTAAATCTGAAGCTGAGGTCACGCTTTCATTCAGAGAAACTCAGCTAAGTTTCCTACGTCCCATGGCAGTGAAAATGATACAAAAAATGATCTTGCTTTAAGTATTCAAGTAGTCGCAGGTTCTTCATGTCCAGCCCATCATTGCATCATAAACGAAAATCCTTCCTCTGGTACTTCAAACGACTCTCAAAGCAAACAATGTGAAACATAAAGAGGGAAAAATACTTTTTGACCATTTCTCAAGACATATTGTTGTTCAGTCTGTTTCAAGGTAGACACTTCACCTTTTTAAAGTTGAAAAAAGGTGCATACAAATGAGCTCCTTCAGTTTGAGCCTGAAGATATTCTGATTGCTTCGTCTCGCTCATGGTTCACTAGGACGCTTGAACAGGATTGTCATTGTTATAAGAAACGTCTGGGCATTTCCTAATGTAACAATTCTTTGTCTTGTAAAAAATGCATAGTGTTAAAATGTAACTACAAGTGTGCATTATAAAGCTCAGCCTGACAGTGAGGATTTTAAAGACTGATAAAATAGAGACAAAAAAAGTAAAAATGAAAAGATTCCTGACTGTTCTGCTACCTTCTGGTATTGTTTCTTCTGCATCAGAAACCTCTGCAGGGATATTTCATGCTTATTTGGGCTGCCTTCTATATGTTGACCATCCCTGTCATGAACCCAAATCTCAGTTTGAATCTGCACTTCTGTTTTTAAGCCTTTCTATCACAAAAACAGGCGTTAGCCTTTACAACAAGCTGTAACATCAAACAAAGCAGGTCCACATTCGTAGAAGTCTAGAGAGGCTGCTAGCTGAGCTGCCGTTGGCTTGTTGGTGCTCTGCCTGGTTTTTATGTTCTGAACCCTACAGTGTTGATCACTGATGTTATTATTTGAAGTAAGACACACCCCAGATATATAAAAAAAAAACACAACCTGGTGTATAAAACTGTTAAAAAAAAAAAATGAAGCAGTTTCATATCTCTCGGACTCTCTTCATTGAGACTTTGTGGGCTGCTAGCCGAGCTGCTGCTATCTTTAGCTCTTTAGCTCCCTAGCTGGCTAAATCCTTTACCTTGATTAAATAAAGTAAATTAAAATGACAATAAGAAAACCACGAAGAAAGAAGCAGCTGATTCTGGTAAAATCAAACAAACATGAACTATACAGGTCAAACTTGACACCAATGTAGGCTGATAAAAAAAGTTTTGTGTGGAAAAGAGCTGATAAATACAGAATGAATAGCCACTGTTTTAAATTGACCAACAAAATCTGATTCAACTGACCCAGGTGGAGCCCTCAAGTTTATTTTCCTGGCCAGAGACAAAACGGCCTTCTCCTGCCATACTTTCATGACAAAATGAAGACGGGGCACGGTTAGACCGGGCTTCCATTGCTTCTGTCATGCGGGCAGATGAGCAGGGTAGTGTCCA